TATATTACTTATAGCTATGTCTTTTTGATCATCTAAGGGAAGAAAAGGCACAAAAGTATATGTAATTATATCACCATCATTCTCCTTATTGAAATTATCATCTTTCAATTGATTAATTTGAAATTAATTATCAATAAAACCATCCTCTGGTAAACAATTAAGATTTTCATTATCTATAACAATTTCAGAATAATATAGATTATTTTCTTTTAACCAACTTAATGCGTGAATAATTTTGTTTCGATGAACTCTAAAATCTCTAAATGTAGTTGGCTCTCTCCCTGATTGTTGATATACAATAAGTATATTCAATGAAGATAGATGCTAAGAAAAACAGGTGGAAAATTCTTCTATATCTTGAAGAAAGTTGATAATATTTCTTCTGTATCCATGCTGTTCTTTATGAAGTCTGTAAACTACCATCATGAGGAATACTTGTACAATTAATATCTCTTCAATTTCTGTAAATTCTTGGAGTTCTTCAGGTACATCTCCTGGATTCATATTGTTATTGGATGAAAATTTCTTTGGCAGCTTTTTTTCAATATAACAATGGTGATATTCATCCATAATAACGGTTAATGTTAGAACATATTCCTTACATATGGGACAAAGTGTGTGTTTTAGCTTCTCCACTTTGCTACGAAATCATCGCAAAAGAATTTTATTGAATTTGCTAAGGATCACAGAAGGTGGATTGACTTGCATAATATTATCACTACTTTGGGCCATATTGAATTCATCTTGCAGATTATCAGTTTGCATATCTGATTCATTCTAAAGATATTGGTTACTATCATCTGTAAAGTTTGTTTCAAGTTCTGTAAGGTCTAATTTAAGTTTATTTAACGCCTTTGTTGCTCTTTTTTGCTATTTTTTTTCTCAATCATATGCAAGACGTGTCTCACATTGCTAAAATGTTTCATTCTTTCTGCTTTTGTGTTTTCTAAAAGTATCTCATAAAACCAAACTTTCTCCTGTTTGATTTTCTTCTATTGGACAGTTTTCTTCAGTTTGACTTTCATTCATTCAGTTTTCTTCAATAATTAAGTTTTCAACTGTTGAACTTTCAACTGTTGAGCTTTCAACTACTGGGCTTTCAACCATCAGGCTTTTAACCATCGAACTTTCTATCATTTGATTTTCAAACATTGAGTTTTCTTTCATTCTAATCTGTTTCTTCTCTTTAGATTTTTTAATTTATGATATATAAAAGGTATAAAACCGTGAGGTAAGAATCAATGATGTGCTAATTACGAAATAGTATGATAACGAAATTATTTAATTTTGTACCAAACTAAAATGCTTAAAAATTATATTAAAGAATAAATACTAAATCATGCTTTATCTAATTTTTATTTTATTATGTGTTTATTTAATGACCAAGAACTTATATAACAAGATGAACTTGGCAGAACTTCATTGAAGCAAGTATAGATTCTTTTCTATTTTTTTATAACATACGAATCCAGATATTAATTGGTCACAATATTTTCATCTTTATCTCATTTACACCTATGTTTACTTTCAGATGGTGTACTTTTAATCTATCGTGTACTTTTCAATCCATAACATTTATCTAAAATTTCTTTACTCTTGTGCCCAATGCGTTATATTTCTATACATGCTTTCTGACATCATATCTAATCTAATTTTCTTGCGTTACTAACAATGTTACTACAAATAAGGGCTAAATACTACAGAAGAACCAAATAAAGCATAACGATTAGCGAAATAAAAATACAAAATAGGAAACAAATAATACACAGCTAAAAAAAATGAAGTAAAGCACTAACTAAAGAAAATAATAATATAGCATGGTAATATATACATCTAATTTTAATTTTTTATTTCTCTTGGGATCATCAGCATTTCCTTATACTCAATTGAAATCTGAAATCAGTTCTAACGCAGAAATTGGTACGATACGATAATCGTAAGAAAAATAATATAGCGCAAGTTATCTATTTTGATCAAAAGTTTTTTCTATACTAAGCCCTATTACTAATCTGAAAATCAGTCTTACCGCAAA